CTACATCTATATATTTTCCTGTCAGACACCGTTCAGCCTATATTTCCTGATATAATATCTTTTGCAAAAAGGAACGCCCCTGCACCGCGCTGTACACCACGTGTGGTAAAGCGCACCCATGCAATGCGCATTGTTAAACATGTAAAAAATCAGGATACTAATTTTGTAAATATTTTAAAGTGATGCCTAATATGTAATTAATTTATATTATGGTGATATTTGTGTAAAAACGCCAACTTTATCTATTTATTTTTTGTAATATTATTTTTAACAACAATTAATAATGTTTATTGACTTTTAAAATTAATTGTTTAAAAATATTAAAATAAACTTTTAATTACAATTGAGAGATCAAATGAATTATTATTCACTTTTTTTAAAAATAAAGAAAAATGTAATAAAAATGAATTAAAAATAAATAAAATTCAATAAAAATATAGTGTAAAGCTAAAAATATCACCTATTTATTTAAAATATTCTTTATAATATTAATTTTAAAAAGTATTAAATAAATATTAAATTTTAGTTTTATTAAAAATGAATAAATATTATTAACTGTTGTTAAAAAAATAATTAACGACGAGACAAAACAATTTTTGTGAAGATTGAGAAGAAAATATCAACTCTTTGATCGGATGTTTATTCGTGGTACAATTGAGTTGATATTTAGACAACAGTTAGACAATTTTAAGTTATTGACTTTGTACGATCGAATTTTCATTCGATTCCAGTAACTTTCCACACCTACGACTGCTTAACAATCATAAACTTGACTAAAATAAACTTTTAATTACAATTGAGAGACAATGAATTATTATTCATTAATTATTATTTTTTAACAACAGTTAATAATGTTTATTCATTTTTAATAAAATTAAAATTTAATATTTATTTTATATTTTTTAAAATTAATATTAGAAATAATATTTTAAATAAAGTGGTTATATTTTTTTAGCTTTACGTTATATTTTTATTGAATTTTATTCATTTTTAATTCATTTTTATTTATTTTTAAAAAAAAAGTGAATAATAATTAATTTGATATCTCAATTGCAATTAAAAGTTTATTTTAATATTTTTAAACAATTAATTTTAAAAGTCAATAAACATTAAATGTTGTTAAAAATAATATCATATATATATATATATATATATAATTGGCGTTTTTACACATATATCACTCTAACAGAAAATAATTACATATTAGACATCATTTTAAAAATATTTATAAAATTAGCACCCTGATTTTTTACACGTTTAACAAAGCGCGTTGCAGGGTGCGCGTCTTACCTTACGTGGCGCCAAATCAGCCTAAAACGTGTTGTATGGGCGCGATTTACTGCAACGGCTGTTAGATTAAAAAATTTAACATAAACAGTATCTTACAGGGAAATACATAGGTGTAGGGTGATTTTTGTGGAAAATGTAATGTTAACAGTATATTTATTCTTTAATGATGAAGAAATATTTTGAAAAAGCTGATTATACGGCACAGGTGTTGCCACGTGTAGGATAGAATAAATGCTAATAATTGCTTTGCTTCAGAAGAGGCATGAACTATCTTAATCGTAAACTGTTAAGAGATTGAAAACAGATATGTGGATCAGACGGTCTACAATCCATTGATCGATGTACGGAATTCCTCTATTTTGTTTTCTTTTTGGAACATTCCCTTCGATGGTTCAATGCCATCCATTCAACAATCGTAGGTGGAATCCAAAACATATTAAATATTCATATATTGCAATTTTATAAAGGCTTTTATCTTTTTATTTTTTAATAAAAAATATATAAGTCATACTTTGCATTTAATTTGAAGGTTTAAAAGAATTTTTTTGTTTAAAATAGATATTTATCGTTTCTGATATTATTATTTTAAGTGTATATGACAAAATAATTATTAAAAAATTATTAATAAAAGTTATATTATTTATTAATTTCTTAAAAATAATATTTTTGATTTATCAATAGTGAATAATAATATATATGAATTTAATATTAATATAATAGTCTAATAATATTTTTAATAAAAATCCTTAAAATATATTTATTAATATTTTAAAAAATATAATATAATAATTTTATTTTAATATATATTTAATATAATATATAATATTTTTATTCTAATAGAATATACTAGTCTTAATATTTTTATTTATAAAATCATAGAAATAACATTTTAATAATAATATTGACAACAATAATATTAAAAATTTTATTCTAATAATTTTAAAATAATAATATTAATTTTTTTAATAAATAATGTTATTTATTATATTTCATATTTGTAATAAATAATTTCTAGAAAATTTATCAATTAGCGAAAAATGGTTTACACAATATCTTCCAAACACCGTAAAACATTTCCGAAAAATATTTTTAGTGAAACAAACAACCCCTAATTCTTATTTTTCTAATAGTTTGGAGTGATTATAACGTAATATATGTTCAAAATCTTTACTGATGACTTACAACATACACACACCTTACATATATAATTACTCGAACCCGAAATCTTTGGGATAACAACACTATATTTATCTACTAAGGTCACTCGATGGATAAACTTAAATTCGAATATACATATTTATTAAATTATTTTGAATTATGATCAATTTGATATAATACATAAATTTGAAATATTTAAATTGTTATTATACCACATTACATTATCATTTTCATTAAGTTAACAATTAACTCTAAATATGAATGACCGAAACAGAACCTTAGATATAATTTTTAAAAAATAGTTAAATGGAAACAAAAATAAATGAGTGACCAAACATGTAGTTTACCCTAAAATAAATCTCAACTACCAATTAAAATTGTTAAAATAGGGCTGACACTAACTTTACGAAATCTGATTGACTTGACCCTTTCAAATCTTATTGGTTGAGTCATTATATATAGTTAAGACATTTAGTGTATTGTTTGAACATTTGTTTTCACGTTAAGCCTTGATTTTTTAATATATGATTGAAATTAATTTTTTTTATGAATATATTTTTGTTTCTTTAATATTAATTTTTTATTCTATTTATCTAATGATATTAAATTTATGTAAAATTAAAAGAATTATATATTATGGAATATGATCTTATTCTATATATATATATTCTAAATTTTGAATTCAAAGTCAATGTATGAGAGTTGACCCAAAAAATATATAGACGGAGAGGAGTTGGTTATGAGAGTCGTTGGACTGAACATGGGCATAATTAGTTACAATTCAGGTCCAATTAGCCATAAAAATGAATTTTTGATTGGAATATAAAATAAGCTGATTTCTTAAGATAGACATGATATTATAAAATTGTATCACATTATTATTAAAGTAAATAAATATAAAATTAAAACTGATATGATAATACAAAACAATTTTAAATGATATTATCAAAATAATTAAAAATCTAAACTGAAGGACCAGACTGAATTTTTTTCCAAATACTGTAATTAATTTGCAAAAATAGAGATTAAATTAAAAAACATTGTTAAATTTAGAGACGAAGTGATGATCTTTTTCCACTCAAGGATTTTACTTGAAAAATACCTTCTTCCATTTTAAAATTATATTTCAGCGTTTTCAATTGTGCGGAGGAGAAAGGGCAAAGATGTCAAACTGCAATAGAGAAATGAGCAGATATATGGGATATGTGGGCTATATTTCATCATTACAAATGATACAGTTGGTTGCAGCGAAGGATCAGTTGTCGGTTTGTGTTATGGTTTTTTCGTCCTTTCAATGATAATTACTGTATTTATACAATACTACATATCTAAATTTTAATTAATAATAGGCTTAATATTAAAAACGTGTTCAAATTATATATATATATAGTATTTAGATGCTTAACTTTTTTTTGTCAATGTAAGTGCATAATGTTGTCAAAGTTATTGTTTTAAAAACCTGATCTGTTACGATCTTTAAAAAATATTGAAAAAATTATGATTTTTTAACTATTTTTTGTCAATGTAATTTGAGGTGATCTAACTATTTTTTTATTTTTAGAAGTCTAATCAGATTTTTTAAAAAATTTGACGGATTTAATGATTTTTTAACAATATCAAGTAGGATAATTAAAAATATTGAAAAAATTATGATTTTTTTATTATAAATTTTTAGGATGATAATTAAAATTTTAAAAATAAAAATGAATTTATTTAAATTTTGAAATGCCAGTGTTTCTTGGGATGAGTACATGACCCGACCTCGATGAGTTTAGATTCAACTCGATCTTTTAAGTTTTTTTTTAAATTGAGTTTTGGTCGGATCATGTTGGGTTTTTTAGATAATAAGTTTAGACCGGGTCAGGTTTAGGATTAAAACTACTTTACGCAAAAAAATAATATAAATATACCTTATATATTTAAAAATAATTGAAATAATATTTATCAAATTAATATTTTTATAATTATACTTGTTTTAGATAAAGTCAGATCAGATTTGAGTTTTATCTTAAAAGACGAGTCAGGTTTTGCACCCTAACCTGGATCATGTCAACTTTCGAGTGATACTGACGTGTCACCATAATGCCATGTCATCATTGAACTTTTTAAAAATATAACGTCAGCAGTTATGTTATTTTTCAAGTGACCAAATTGAAACCAAAACATATATTAAGTATGATTTTGAAATAAAAAATAATTGAGTGAACACAACAAAATAAAAGTGATAGTTGAAATATTAAACATGTATTTTTACCATAGAAGCAATCATGTAGCACAATTTCCGTCTAAGCATTCACATGCAACGAAACAAGAGCGTCACTTTAATATTTCCCATCATCCATCATGGATGGATGTATGCAGCTGATGCATACATGAGCAATCCCATAATCATCACCATCATCCCATGTAAATTAAGGAATGAATGAAAGGGGGAAAGGAAAATTCAATCTAGTGCAATGCAATTTTGACGTCCGTAAAGGACAATACAAAACACTCTTTCTCTCTCTAGATACACCGAAGCCTAAGAAGAACAGAGCACGTACTGAGACAAGAAATTGATTGAAATAAGTTCCCCTTTTTCTTTTCTTTTATGCTGAAGTGAGTAAAAACCATATTATTTGCTTCAGTTCGTTGAAGCAAAACGTTAAAGAATCGAAAAGAAAGCGAGTTTAAAAGGCAATTTGGGTATGTTTTGATTGAAATCGAAGCTTTGAAGATTTGGGAAACTTTCTTTACTTTTTTTCTTCTTGCTCCTTCGTTGTTGATCTTTTCACAGTAACTCTGGGATTTTTTAAACTCTGGTAAGTCTTCTTAAAGTCTTTCTAGTTTGCTATTTTTCTTTCTTTTTTGGGGTTTAAGCCTGGGTCATTGATTTGTGCTGTTAATGGCTGGATCCAGTTCAGTTTTTTAATGTATTTGGTTGAACATTAGATTTTTCTTTTAATAATGTTGCATTTTTTTGGGGGGGGGTTTGTAGGTTAAAAATTTGAGCTTGGTAAGCTCATTTTTGGGCTTTGTTTAACTTTTAAGTAAAGTTTTGTTGGATTTTGATGAAATTTGCTAGTTTTTGGAGATTTGGGTTTTTCTTTAAGATTTGTGTGGAGTTTGATTTTATGGTTATTGGAATCCAGTGTTACAGTTTTTTGGTTGAAAGTATTAATTATTTTTGAGCTATTTGTTACTTTTTTTCCTGGATGATTTATGTTACAGTGGATCTGAAGATTCTTGTGTTCTTTTTTTTTCCTACAGAAATTCGTGCGAAAGCCTTTCAACTGTTGCTTGTCTGCAATGTTAGAATGCTCAGAATCAGAGCTCCTTGTTGGGGCCGTTTGTATCGTGGAGCAGAAAGCTATATGCTCAGGCACAGTAAGCTGCCAAGTTGGGGATAAACTGTTGAGTTCTTAAGCTGCCAAGTTGGGGATAAACTGTTGAGTTCTTTGTGCTATACGGCTATATTTTCGTGATTTGTTCTGTAACAGTAGCTTATTTTGTCGAATTCATGTTGTTTTAGATAGTTGTTACAGCTTTGTGAGTGCGTTTTAGATAGCGATTCCTGAAACATGGTGCCCTTGGGGCCTTCAACTCCTATGGGTGGTTCACAGTCTGTGCCGCCTTCTCTTTTGCGGACAAATTCGGGAATGTTAGGATCGCAAGGCGGTGGTCTTTCGTCTCAATCTGGATTCTCTTCATTAGTGTCCCCTCGAACACAGTTTAACAATATGAATATGCTCGGGAATGCGCCTAACGTGGTTTCCCTTCTTAATCAGTCATTCGGGAATGGGGGTCCTGGTAGCAGTCAGCGTGGAGGTATTGACTCTGGGGCTGAATCCGATCCACTTTCTAATGTAGGTACTGTGATGGGGTTTAATCCCCCGCCATCATCGTTTGTGCCATCGAACATGGCAAACCCTGGATCATCTGGCCAAGTTCAAGGCCAGCAATTTTCAGACCTGTCCGGTAACCATATTTTACCGGATCAACAGCAGCCCCAACAACCCCAGTCGCAACATTTTCAACATGGTCAACCGGGAATGCAACAGGTCACTGCGCCTCACAATACCCAACAAGGACAGCTACAGCAGCAACAACAACAGTTTCAATCTATTGGAGGAGGGTTGGCTGGTGTTGGGGCTGTCAAATTGGAGCCACAACAACTGGCTAATGATCAGCAGCAACAGCAGTTGCAATCGCCGAGAAATCTTGCTCCCGTTAAATTGGAACAACAACAAATTGTTCCTACAAGAACTTTGGCGCAGGTAAAAATGGAGCCCCAACATTCAGATCAGTCATTGTTTTTGCATCAGCAGCAGCAACAGCAGTTACTCCAAATGTCACGGCAGTCCCCGCATCTTTTGCATCAACAAAGACTCTTGCAGCTTCAACAGCAGCAACAACTTTTGAAATCAATGCCTCAACAAAGGTCACAATTACCGCAGCAGTTTCAACAGCAGAATTTGCCTTTAAGATCACCCGTGAAATCAGCATATGAGCCTGGGATGTGTGCCCGACGTCTGACACATTACATGTATCAGCAACAACATAGACCTGAAGTAAGATATCCATGGTCTAAAGATCTATTTCCACATGCATTGAGTGGCTTTGTGGATTTAACGTTCCTGTTTTTTGTGTAGGACAACAATATTGAATTTTGGAGAAAATTTGTTGCCGAGTACTTTGCACCAAATGCCAAAAAGAAGTGGTGTGTTTCTATGTATGGAAGTGGCCGCCAAACGACTGGTGTTTTCCCTCAGGTCTGCTGCTGATTGAAATTTGCCATGTCTTCTGATTCTGAACCTTATTCAATTGGCATTCTTATGTAATTGAATGAAGTCATTATCTTTAGAACTTTACATATTTGTTTGTTTGCTCACCTTATAGATGAAATTTTCGTCGGGTTTTGGGCATCTTAATATGATTATGTTTTTTTGTTTCTAATAACTAACTATTAATGTAAAGGATAATTAAACTTCCGTATACATGTTACAGGATGTATGGCACTGTGAAATATGCAATCGGAAGCCTGGACGTGGATTTGGTATGCACTTTTCTTCTTTCTTTATTGTTGTTCCTCCTTTTGGGATGTAGTTGGTGAATTAATTTTCCATCATATATTAGTGAGATTAATTTGTATTAGTGCTTCTTGTGGGATGTCAACAAACTTAAAAGTCATAAATTGGTATATTTTGGTTTCTCGTGGCTAATTTATCCATGTCTTCTGTATATCTAATATCTTCCTATTGTGCTTTCAGAGGCGACTGTCGAGGTTCTTTCCAGGCTTTTCAAAATTAAATATGAAAGTGGTACTCTAGAAGAACTTCTTTATGTTGATATGCCCCGTGAGTATCAGAATTCATCTGGCCAAATTGTGTTGGACTATGCAAAAGCAATACAAGAAAGTGTTTTTGAGCACCTTCGTGTTGTTCGTGATGGTCAGCTTCGGATAGTTTTCTCACCAGATCTAAAGGTTACAAATAGAGATAATGGCTTTTTATTGACTTTGAACATTTTGGGGTCTCATTAACTAAGTTTTGGCTCTTTTCATTCTTTTCATCAGATATGTTCTTGGGAGTTTTGTGCTCGGCGTCATGAAGAACTCATCCCTAGGAGATTATTGATACCTCAGGTTGTGATTCTCTATAGCTTGAGAATTTCTGATATATGCTAGTGACCTTATGCATAGTATGTTTGGACTGTATGAAATCTACAAAGATTTGTTGATTGAGTTTAAGAACACGGATCCATCAACTTGTAATATTTCTTTTTTGTTCTGCTTTTAGTATCATAACGAGAAGTTAGGATGTCTTTCTAATTTATGGCCGGCTGCTTGAAATCTTCATTCTGAACCAGTCTTGTAATCTAGAAAATATCATATCAACGATGATACCGAATTATCTTATTTTTCTTCTTATTTCCCTAAATTACGAACGAATTATTTCATTTTTAATGGTTCTAATTTTGATTGGTACAGGTTAGTCAGCTTGGGGCCGCAGCTCAAAAATATCAAGCTGCAACTCAAAATGCATCAACAAATTTATCTGCTCTGGATTTGCAGAATAACTGTAACTTGTATGTCCTTTAGTATTTGTTTTGATAAAGACCGTAAATGCAAAGTCTCGTATATTCTGGTTAGACTCTTGGTCACACATGCACACACACTAGGGCAATGGGATGACAAAATCAACTTGCAGTATATCCATCTACTTCTTTTCTATTTATCAAAATTGAATAATAATAATATTACATGTTTGTTTCACCAATGTTGTGCATGCATGGATTTCTAATTAGCTATGAATGAACTTCAGGTTCGTAGCATCGGCTCGGCAATTGGCTAAAGCCTTGGAAGTGCCATTGGTAAATGATTTGGGTTATACAAAGAGATATGTGCGGTGTCTTCAGGTAATTTCTTGCATTTGCATCTGCTCTACCCTTTTTTATTTCCCCCCAAATTTTGACTTTGCGATATTTTACCACTAAAAATTACCGATTTCTACAATCTTCTTTAGTTCGCGGCTCCACACTGAATGTACTCACATCTTCAACTTGTTCTAGCAAAATTGCACTTTCCGAAGACCAAGTGCAAATAAACTATATTATCGAAATGTGCCTTAACACAAAAAATGTTTTGTTACTATGTTAACGAGTGGCAACCGGAAAAACTAAAACATGAAGATGACTTTTATAGTTGTAACACCTTTTTGAAGAATTTTGCATTTGAAATGTAGTCTCCTCATGCACTATTTCCTTATTTTTATCGCGGTTTTAACAGATATCTGAAGTGGTTAATAGTATGAAAGACTTGATTGATTACAGTAGAGAAACGAGGACGGGACCCATGGGTAAGTTTTGACAAGATCTACCTTGCTAATTTTATTTTATCTTCTCTTCTCATTGGCTTCTTAGTTTTAAATATACTTCTGAACACTTGAAAGTACCGGTCCGGGAATCCTGCAATTGCGCTTCGGAGTTTCTTGTACCCTCCATTTTTGTTTTAGTTTACCTTTAACCAAATTCATGGGAGTTCTATAAGCTGGTTGACTATTAGCTTGTGTTCGCCTAATATTTTCTTACATTTTTTTGATAAAAGATTAGGCCTCATTAAAAACCCCCTTCATACCCTCCATGTTGCGACAGTAACATGAAGGACGTAGGAAGGAGGAAAAGAGTGCCCTTGAACTTTATTAATCAGAACCATAATACACAGCCAAACCATAACCTACTAATGCAGCATAACACTGATACATAAGACTGAAAACAAACCCCCTACGGAAAAAATATAATTTCCGTACATGTTAACATACCCAAAAACATAACCTACAAAACAGCCTATACCATCTTTAGCTAACTTATCTGCTTCCCAATTAGCAGCTCTCAGAACATGCCTTGAGATGATATCTTGTCCTCCCATACGAGTAGCTATGTCCTTCGCCAAGGACTGAAACATAGGGGTGCATAAGTCTGGATTTTTAATCCACTTCAGTGCTGTAGTTGAATCTGATTCTAAAATAACCCTGAGTTAGGGCAGATCCTAATTCTTCAATAAGAATCAGACCTCTCTTAATCGCCAAAAGTTCTGCCATTATAGGAGGACCTCCCCCAACCTTTTCTGAAAAAGATTTTATCAAAATACCTCTGCTGTCCCTAATCAGTCCACCTATACCTCCTTTACCCCAGCCCCTCACCATCGCACCAACAACATTAATTTTAACGAAACCATCAGGAGGATGCACCCAACACGAAGGAGTTGAACAGCCCTTAATCTGTCTTACCTTAGAGTTAGCTAATTTTAAATCTCCCACTAATGAATCAAAAGGGATATGGGAATACTTGAAACTAGCATCAAACCAAGTAGCAGTTCTAAATCGAACAAGAAAGAAGAGTAATACTGCATCCACCTTCCCTTTCTGAAAAATTACCTCATTTCTGCATTTCCAAACAGTCCACATCACTGCCCTTTGGATAATTTTCCAAATATTTGATTTCGGTAGTAAATCATCCCATACAATAATGAAATTAATCATTTTATTTGGAACCACAAAAGAAACATTCCATATATTCAGAAATCTAGACCACAGGCCCCATACTTTCTTACATTTTAGATTTTGCACTGTGAAAGGGTTCTTGGTTTCCGGCTATTAACGATCCGTCGTGTTCATTTAGATATACCATTGAAAATAAGTGTGGGAAATAAGAACTTCACAAGTGTAGCTCCAAATTCATTTGTTCTCATGTTGGCTCTATGATTTTTTTAGCTGGATGGTCGATCTCATATATTTTGTTTTTCCTCAGAGAGTTTGGCTAAGTTCCCTCGAAGAACGAGCACTTCATCTGGTTTCCACGCTCAAGCTCAACAGCCGGAGGAACAGCTGCAACAGCAGACATCGCAACAGCAAATGATGGCCCAGAGCTCTAATGGTGATCAAAGTAATGGCCAAGCTTCTGGGATGCAAGTTGCCGGTAACAATGGTGTGGCTAATATGAATAACTCGCTTAATGTAGCATCTGCAACGGCATCTGCCAGCGTCATTTCTGGGCCTCTACACCATAATTCCATGAGCTCCAGGCAACAGAATTCTATGAATAATGCAAGCAGTCCCTATGGTGGGAACTCTGCTCAGATTCCGTCCCCCGGTTCCTCTACCACAATACCGCAAACACAAATGAATCCTTCTCCGTTTCAGTCACCAACACCTTCCTCATCTAATAATCCTCAAGCTCCAAACGGTGCCTTAGCAGCAAGTCACATGAGTTCCGCAAATTCTCCAGCAATGAACTTGCCCATGCAGCAGCCAGCTCTTTCCGGTGAGGCCGGCCTCAATGAATCGCAAAGCTCTGTTCAGAAAATCATTCATGAAATAATGTCTAGCCAACTTAATAACACCGGTGGCATGGTCGGCACCGGCACTCTAGGCAATGATGTGAAGAGCGTAAACGGAATGCTACCACCAAGCAACAACACAGTTCTGAACTGCGGCAACACTTTGATTGGCAACGGGGCACTCAACAACAATAAATCAGTTAGTGGTGTTGGGTTTGGTTCGATAAGTGGCGGACTCGGCCAGTCTGCTATAGTGAATGGAATGAGAGCAACAATGGGAAACAACCCTGTAATGAACGGAAGGATCAGTATGGCACAGATGGCTCGGGATCAACTCATGAACCACCACCGACAGGACATCGGAAACCAGCTACTGAGTGGACTCGGAGCAGTTAACGGCTTTAATAATTATCAATTTGATTGGAAACCTTTCCCATGAAGAAGGATGATCAACAAGATGATGGGTTCTTTGTTGATTACACTATATATGATCCCTCCCGCTGTGTACTAATTCCAGAGAGAAAGTGAAAAACCATATAGCATAGTGTTTTTATCAATTAAAAAAAGCAACTTTGAAGTTGCTCCAGTTTCCTATTAATTTGTTTCCGATGATCATTTTACTTTTTACGGCACAAGCATTGGGGATGACAGTGAAAAAGGATGACGAATTACAGAACATAGATCATGTCAAGTTGAATGGATGATACATAAAAGAAACTGACATAGCATGGCATGAACATACCATGTAGAGTTCTTACAAGAAACTATGGTTTTGTTTCAAGTTCAGGGATCGATATACTTTTCGATTGTAGCTACAATGGTAGACTTGGGCACTGCACCAATGATGCTCTCTTTCTTCTCTCCGTTTTTGAAGAACAGCACGGTCGGGATGCTCCTGATCCCGAACTTCGTCGGAATGTTCGGGGTCTCATCGGTGTTGAGCTTGTAACAAGTAATTTTACCGGCATACTCTTTGGCTAATTCAGCTATAACAGGTTCAATCACCCGACAGGGTCCGCACCACGGCGCCCAGAAATCGACTAAAACCGGTGTATTACTGCGGACGACAAGCTCATCCCAGTTTGCTTCTGTCACCACCTCAACTGCAAATTGCAGATAAAACTTAGAAACTCTGAAACAAAAGAGCAAATATATAGGGGGTAAAAAGATGCTTACTTTGAGCAACAGCGTCACTAGCTTTGCATACAAGCCTGGAATTTTGGCTTCTACCGGTGACTGATAAAGTGGGTTTATTGAATTTCAAGCCGTCAAACGTGTGCAAATGGATGTTGTTAAGAGATGGAGAATGATGATGGAAGCTTTGGAGCACAGTAGCTCTGGTGTTGCAGACTGAGCTCAACTGGAAATAGGTTTTCAGAGCCATCCTTTGATAATCTCGTGGGAAAGGAAGATGTGGGTTTTTCTTTTTTTATTGTTGCGAAACTTTTGTCGTCTAGCTTTTGGTAAACTGAGAATGTGAGGTCTGGAAAATAGTATCTATTCCATATGGATAACATTCCATCATTTTCATTTTCAGAAAATTGAAAACCATAGCTTTTCCCATTTTTTTTAAAGAATAATAAGAGGTGATTAAAAGATAATATGTGTTCTGAATTTTCTTAATTAATTGACAACATACACACTCTATAGATATAATTATTCGAACTCAAATATGTCCTTTTTTATTTGTGTTTAAATGATTTAAATTCAGTAAGAACATTTCATTTTATCACTGAAATTATTTGACCGGTTCAAATTTGTGTTTAAAATGGTTTATATTTAGGGAGAACAAAGACGAGTCTACATACTTAAGAAAATTATATTAAAAATTTAACAGATGTAAAATTATAAAATATTAAAAACTACGAAATTAAATAATTATTAGAAAGAAGAAAAAAAAGGAAAACTAAAATATACAATAATTCAAAAATTTTAGGAGCGTAATTACATTCTCCAAGACCTATTGATTCATCTTTATTTAATTTAAATATTATTTTAGATTTTAAACTTCAATCTCTATATATTAAATTTGCATCATTAATTTAATATTTTTGGTGCCTCTTCTAGCTTTTATACAGTTTTATTATTGACGGCTAACATAGGAGTTAAAAGAAAAAAATATAGTTTTTCTCTTTTCTATATTTATAATTTTATCCATTTTATTTTTAATATTTATAAATAAATATAAATATAAATATAGAAAACAAAATATATCTTCCCCACAATTTCGTTTTCCATTTGATTTATGTATCAGTCGCATGTTCAAGCCAATGAGAGCATTAGAGAGACTGTCTACTACCAAGTACAAAGATGTAAAGATCTTAAAAAGGAAAATAAATATTTGTTGCTAAAACTCACTCGAATATCCATGTCGAATACTCACACCTAATCCGAGTAACAAGAAGCCAAATTTACAACTGAGTTCATGTCCAGCTGAAGAAACAACTAAAGATTGTAAAAGAGAAGAAATGCCATATGCACCCCCATAAGTTTTAGCCACAATCTCAAAATGAATAGTCCTTCGAATCGGACTTCGAGTCGTTCAAATCCATATCAGCTAAGCACTCTTCTGAAGTAAGGGGAGGAAGTTGCCTGGTTTTGCGTTTTAAATTATGCTTGTGCCACTCGCTCTTCAAGTGATCCCTGAATCCCCCACAAATGCATTGCATGTGCTGCACTTATGTTGCTTTGCCTCCCCTTCACCATTCTCATTTCCCGATGAGATGGTCGCGTGTTTTTGCATTTTCTCTCTTAGTTGGAGGACTGAACCAGAAGATTCCGGTGGTAAACGTGAAGATGCTGACTCAGCTGAATCCTAGGCTAGATGTGATGACATATCCTCGTCATCATAATTACCCACCTGTGTATCCCCCTCGGCATGTACAGACACTGCAAGTATTTCCAATCTACCCTGTGAATTCCTCACAAGGCCATCACATTCTCGGAAGTACTGGTTCAATTTCACAGATCTGAAAAACAAGCAAATGAAAGACTGAACGCTTGAACAAGAAAATGACTATATAAACCGTAAACCACATAAACCATACAGCTTAGTAACACAGAAAAGTCTATTCAATCCCAAAACAGCATCTATGGACACTGAAGAAGTGTCAAAAGGGAATTACAGGTGCAAGAAGCATTAAGCTACTATGATAGTAAAATTCCCAACTGGATACAAGTTTCTGTGTACTAGCCAAAGTTTAAGCTTATGTTTGGTTATATACCTCCCATCGCTTTGCTTTACTCATGTAGTTATTACAATGAATCAATAAAATCGAAACAAACAATATAACAACACACCAACCTCATTCAACTGCCATTGAAGCATTCTCCTAAATTCCAATTTCAATTTCATAGAAAATCATGCCGGCGGTCCGGAAAACACTTTTGATGGATTAAATCAATCACTTTCACATAACTTGCAAATGCTGACGCTTGAATAACGGAGCAAGCAGACAATACTTTTAAGTATTTCAGTAAATAATGCTAAAAGTGAAGTGAACTTATAACCACAGGCAAGAGAAAAAGGATTACGAGTTCTATTTTAAAACTCGATTTTAAATTTTTTTCGAGTCTAAGTTTATAAAATTATGAGTTTTATTTCTTGGGGATCATAACCCCTTTATTAACTGATTTAAGAATCAATTATTGTATGTACTTAAAACTCTGTCATTCATTAAATTATAAATATAACTTTAATAATATCTACACTTTTATTTTCATAACACTTCTAATACCTTATAATTTTATAATATAATTGATTAGTTAACTTTTGTCATGTTTTATGATAACAATATACATTAAAATGTTCATAATTATGGAGTTTAATTTAACAGAGTTGAATCGAGTTTTGTTCGTACCTAATTAAAATAATAAAAAATATAATTTCAGAATTAATATAAACAAAACTGGTTTAGGAATTAAATCGATAAAAAAAATCAAGTTTACAGGATTAAAAGTAGTTTTCTCTTTCCACAGGATATTAAAACGCAGCGTTTTGGAACTTAAGAAAACCCGGTTCAACCCAAACCCACGAGCCACAACTTAGCATTTAGGGTTCACACTATTTCGATCACTATATTGTACCTTCTTCCAATTCCCTTCTCTGCCGAATTGCCTGTACTTTTTTATTTATTTATTTATTTTGCTTGTTTGGGTTCCCAGAAAAAAATCAAAGAGAAAGTAAGACGATTTATTTTTTTGAAAAAAATGGCCTCTGTAAAGGAAAAGAGTGATGGGGCAATTTCAGAGGAGGAAAAGAAGGAGAGCTCTAATTATTTTGATATTTATGGACCTCAAGTACATCTTTTTTTTTCTCTTCCTTTTAATATTTTCTGTATGGATTCTGTTGATTTGTTTTAGTATAATGGGGGAATGGGATGAAACTTAAAGCCTTCTTTTTTCAGGCAAAAGCAGAACTTGTTTTCAAGACGCCAGAAGCTGACAATACTTTGAATTTGCAAGTAAGTTTATGGAAACCGACTTTATGGAAAAAAGAAAAAGAAACATGGTTGAAGTTTAGGTATTTTTTGTTTTGGTTCCAGGATGTTCAAGGACTTGTTACCTGGGTTCTTGCCGACGGATTCATGCCTTCCTGGGTTTTTATTAAGGTAAATAAATAGTATAATTTTATGTATTGAACTTTATACTTGGTTTCCTTATTAATGCGTGGAACAAAGTCTTTCATTGTTGGGGTTTTTAAAAACTTTTATAAGAGCATGTTCTTATTTTATATTGTTTGCAGAATAAGCCACTGATTCCGAAAGTTGTTATGCTTTATGTCCCTGGCTTGGATGCAGCTTTGTACTTGGCTCAATCCATGAAACTTTCTGGTTTGAAACAAAGTTGTGGCAATCCTCGGCCGCTTTTAGCTCTTAGGTTTGTAATAACTTTGTTTCTGCAGTTCTTGTCTATTGGAAATATGCTCGGTGTGAATTGCAATGCGTTGTGTTTATGAATCTGTTTTTTATTATAGCTGTGTATCCGATGGGATGCAGACGATAGATGCTCTCCTGACTTGCAAGGTGAAGAGAAAGAGAAATGTGATCGAGTCAGTTAAGGAAATAAGCCAGCTTGCTGAACAAGGTGCAAAATCTATCTTTGAAGTTGAACGGTCCACTTCTTTGCTTGCATGAGTTTCTTACTTGTATGGTGGAATTAGATTCTCTACAGGGTTAGTTGGGTTTCATTATAGGATTGTCTGTCCCAACTTGTGTGACTAGAAAAGCAAAGCTTTGGGGACAGTAAACATGTGACATTTACTCATCTGGCGGTCTTAACTAACTTTTATGAGACAGAACAAAGGTATTTCAGCTGTTCTGCATTTGTTGATAGTGGGCATTCCCAGTTCTTTACTATTCACTCTGAGTTGGGCTGCAATCCTCTTATTTGGCTGTATTGTGATCATAAACCTTTTAAAAAAATAATGGAGTGTAAATTCTCCGTAATAAGAAAAATATTCTAATAAGTAGAAATATATATCGTAAACAATTATGTTCAGTTATACAATTGATAATGCTTTCTGGTGTCTATGTCCTACACATTCCCTTTTCAAATTTGTAAATTCAAAATCATAATAATCAATAGGTACTGTGATTAAAATTTTTCTTTATAGTGTCTGCAATTATCAAAATGTTATATTTAGGAGATGAGATGGTTCCTGTTATGTTGCATAGTTTATGTTGCCACTTGACATTCCTTTTGTTGCTTTCAGCATTACAACAATACAATGTTATTCTTTTATTATCTTAACTTATTTGAGGATCTCTGTCAATGGAATAACATGTTGATAATAAAATTGTATCTTTTGGCAGAAACATCCATCTCTTCAATGGACTCTGCAGAACTCTCGAAGGAGATTCCTTTCCCCATTACATATTATACACTTACAGCAAAGGAACTAGAAGACAATGGATTTTGTTGTGATCAACAAGGTCCAAAAATTGTTTTTCTCTGACTATTACACATACTTTTCTTTGCATATTAATCTTGCTTCTTCATTGTTCAAGTGTCCTTGGTTCATTCTTGGATTTGTTCCACGCAGATTTTCGTTCTACTCTTCCTGCTCCTGATTGGATCTTCTCCATATGAAATATTAGCACTTGATTGTGAAATGGTAAATCCTGTGTGTCAGTTTATGAAACTTAATCATAATGACTCTTTACTTCTTATTTGTGAAATGTGATAAAATCTTGTAAACTATTAGATGGAGAATGTACAGTGACAAGATAGTGTTACTTTCTTCCGAAGAAAGATAAAACCCTACATGAGCTTGAGTCTTTCCTAGAATTGCCTTTGTTGGCTAATTTGTCTTCTTACCCCATCTATGGTTTGGAAGTAATCTATTTGGTCGATAGTCTTTTATCACTTATCTAATATTGAATTTACTAAAGTTCATCTCTGGTCTGAATTTATGTTATTGTTTGCTTAAGCTGAA